TATATATATACTAACATAAGTTTCAGAGGAGGTTGAGATTTGGGYTGTTTTATTTATTTTATTTATTTATTCTTTTGCAGTTGGTTTTATGTTGTTTTCAGATGGAAACTGTCAGTCTAATCTGGCAACCCTGAGCCTGACTGGGATTAGACTGACTCTARAATTTAATCAGTTACAAATGTACATCCAGTAATTACTTTCTGAGAGTTTGATCAGAATATTATCAGTGATTCATGAAATATTTTGCTAAAGGTACAGGCCAACACACACACACACAAGTAAAAACATTATTGCTCCTCCTTTTGCAGCTGAGTCATAATAAATGTGGTGCGTCTTGGTTGTAGGATTAACAGAGTATTACCAGMTTTAAATGCTAATGACAGACAAGACGCCTACACTTCTATCTCGGCATGATGAGTAAAAARATATATAATCTCATTATTGGATGGTACTGAAGTTATTTTAATCAGGACAGCTGGGATTTACCTGAAATTTCTAATTTAGCTTTGCCTGCTAAATTGAAAATTTAGATGAAAAGCTTACAGTACATCTGCAGTCCCTACAATCTAATGTATGTTTTAATGATTTATAAGTTAAAGTTTTCTGCATATTTATGTCAGACTTTTGTAAGTAATATTTAAATGGTAATTAGTAAGATTTGACAATACATGTACTGTATGAAAACATTAAACATATACAATACTGCAATAACTTATGGACTATAATGTTAAATTTGGATGTGAGTGGCTGAGATGCTAATGTAAATGCAGACTGCTGCAAATAATTTAATTAATTATTAAACCATAAGAGAGCTCATGCGCTGTTGACTTTCATGTAAGAGTTTTAAATTAAGATATTCATCTCACAGCAGAAAGAGAAAGACGTTGTTTCTTTTTGGGTCATACTTTGAAAATAATGTCTCGTGCAATATTGAGAGGATAGAGCTCAGAATATGAGCTAAAGTTCTCTACCAGGTACAGCCACACAAAATTTGATCGCAAYATGTAAAACAGACTGAATTATAATTGGGTGTGGCAGCCATCTTGAATCAGGATGACTCAGTTAGTGCTCAAAATATGTATGTGCTGTAGATATGTCTCAGCTAAAACTGACTGAGTTATGGCCGTTTTTCTGTGTTTTTAAGGTCAGTTGGCTGTGGCAGCCATCTTGAATTATGTTAATGGAATGTCCATCGACTACTTTCTTCAGGTTTTGTACASATTTTTGAAGTTCATGAGATTTTTTGCTAATGGACACACACGGGCAAAAATGTTAAATAGACCCTATTGTCACAGCAGGATTYTATCTGAGTCACTACGGTGCCACAAGCCTAAAAACAAGTGAAAAATAAAATACATGTGGTCAAAACTGCTTGTGTTATTTTTTTGCCTCCTCTGAAATGTGCTGCACGAAAGAGTGCAAAAAAAAAATACAATAACATCCAACACATAAAAACAACCCTTAAACAGGAAATGAAACACCAAATAACACCCAGAACCCCACGTCTATCTCTGAACCTCAAACCTCAAGGTGAAAACACAAAAGTCATCTACGTACGTATCCACACAACAACCTCTGTCTTCATGTGAAGAAAATAATACACGTGAAACAGAGAAAAAAAAAAAGCACATGGCTGATAAAACTTCATCTTCAACCTTCTGTTCCTGACACCTTATTTGCATAATCCAATTCTGGACCTGAGGTGGRTCACGTGGGTTTACAGCAGGCTTACACACTTCTGTGTGACTGRCAGAGAAAACGTCTGCTCCGATATTAAAAAACAAAAAAACACCCTAAGTAAAAAGAAAGAAAAATAAAGCCACTTGTGTTTTGCCTGTCTTGTGATTGAATAAAACATGCTTTAAGCAMAGACGACCTCCCATCATTGCAATGTGTCATTTGGTAGTTTTTGTACCATGATCAGATCTTGTGCCAAAAAGAGGCAGGTCTTTGCACACACACGATGTGCAGACATGACAGTTTTGTGTGTGTGTGTGTGTGTGTGTGTGTGTGTGTGTGTGT